ATCTAATAAAAGTGTAATATGCTAATTAGACTGGGAGACCTTCCAGATGTCCTTCCAGACAAAGCCATGGTGGTGAAGCCAAGGCAGAGGTGGTTAGGGGCGATCAGAGCAGGAGGGGAGGGTAGCTGGGGGTGAGCACACCTGGAGCCAAAGGGGAGAAGTTTGACTTTGCTCAAACTGACCAACTGAATTGAGATCATAAGCAAAAGGCACTTCCCTGCTTCGTCATAACGAACAGTGATGAGCTGGTGGGCTGGATAAACCCCGGCCTCCCAGCTGCTGGGGCACAGGGACAACAGGCAGCCCTGTCCTCCTAGGCCCAGAGCAGTTCGGGGGCCACCCTCGGAGAACCCCTGAGGTGACTCGAGGGTTTCTGACTTCTCATCTGAGCAGCAAACAGAGGTGTTTGGTGCCGACTTCACTGGAAACTCACTCGCTTCTCGTTTCTCACTTGAGCCCCAGCCCCCCTTCCAGTGAAACCTCCTAAGCTTGGGGTTCCCGAGGTGCCAGGGGGCTCCCTCTCTGGGCCCCACAATCAGCATCTCCCTCCCACTCACCAAGCACCATGTCTCTTCCCCCTTCTCTCGGGCCGGCCCTTGCCTCCTACAGGAAAATAAGCAAGAGGGTGGGGTCGAGAAAACTCCCAGCAAACACCCAGGTGCTCCGGGCCACAGGGGCTGACACAGACCTTTGTATTCTCTTCACTTTTTCCCTCTCTTTCCTGGCTGATCCCTCCCTGTTGCCACCAGAGGTGGCTTGGTCCTGTGCTCTGTGAGGCACCCGTCATCCTGGACGCCATCTCTGACTCACTGCCCACACTGGCGGCCACAGGCCCTGTCTAGGGACAGCTCAGAGGTGCCGGCGGGAGCTGTGGGTGGCTGAGGATGTGGCACTCGGCGGCCCCCTAGTGGTGAAGCCCGGTGGCCCGGTGGGGACTGTGCACCCCCTGCGGTGCCCTGGGACTGCAGGGCTCAGAATACAGCCCTGGGAAATCCTCAGGGACCCTCCCCAACACCAGCCTCAGTCCCAGGCTCTGTGTGGGAGATTCACATGGACTTTCACCAGCAGACTTTCCGTCTTCCTTTTGGACAGACACACCAGTGCCCTGGTTGGACAGAGAGGACATGGGTCAAAAGCGTTGCTACCAGCAGATCGATGCTAATTTTATAATTACTCTTCCATGAATATCCTTCTGGCCTTAAAATTCTCAAATCTCTGGATGGAGGGGGATAGTGGAGATCTGCCTCCTGTCCCCACCCTCCAGGGTGGAGCGCCTTCCTCAGATCCTCCGTCGTCTAAAGACACCCAGCCGGGGCTCGGCCTTGAGTGCATGTGGTGTCTTGGTCATCACCTGCCCAGAAGGCTGGTGCAGAGCAGGCCACAGGTTGTCCTCAGCTAATGTAGTGGGGCCACAGAGACCAGCCAGTCCCTTCTGCGGACAGCCCGTGGGACACGCAGCTCCCGTGCCCCCTCCCAGGTCTTCCCTCTCGGGGCCAAACATCCCTAACATCCTGCCTCGTCAGTTGTGACCTCTTCCCTCACCTCTGCCTGGGAGCCAAGTGATGGTCCCTCCACTGCAGTCTGTGTGGTCATCCGCCCCAGGACACAGCCTGCCGTGGCCTCTGCTGCCTGCGGAAGCTCTCCCTGCTCCTGGGCGGCCGCCTCCACTGACTTCTGAGCATCACTGCAGATATTCCCAGGGGCTCTGGGCTCTCCAGGGAGGGCACCTGCCTGCCAGAGTTTAAGACTGGTCTCCAGTGACCCACCACCCACTGCAGAGGCACCCGTCCTCTGGGGCAGTCCTCTGCTCGGGGCACTGCCCAAAGGTTCTCCGTGGAAACCACGACACCAGCTCGCGGAGGCCGCTGCTCCCAGACTGGCCAAGGCCAGGGGAGGAGCAGAAAGACCTGACCAGGACCCACTTCCCTGGCACTCCACTTCAGTCGCTCCACAGGGGCCACAAGTCAGTTGGTGCCTCATCATTCAGAGGCAGCGAGCGTACTCACTAGTGACGAGAAATGTTTGGAAATGGAATGGGCTGTCCCTGGAGAGTAGGCAGTGAGTGCCCCATCAGGGGAGATGCCCAAGCAGATGGATGAAAATATTACAAAGGCCATGCATCAGGCCAGATGACACTTGGACAGGGAGGCAGGGTTGTTAAGTGTTGTTAAGTGGAGTTGGATTGAGTTTTGGGTTCAAATCCTGGCTTTATTTATCCTCGTGTGACCTTGAACAAGCCACCTCCTCTTCTCTGAGCCTCAGAGAGGTTGTGTGGGAGACGCAGGTTGGCTCCTCATCGAGAGCCGTGATCATGAGATGACTCTGAGGTCAACGTCTGCTCCAGACGCCCTCCTTGAACCCTGACATCCTGGCCCAGGCCCCCTCCCCAACCCCCTCCCACTCTCTGCAGGGGGAGGTGAGGGCACTTCCTGCAGGCCAGGCCTCCCCCAGGGGCTTGCTCACTTTCTTTCTGCCTAGGTCTCATCCCTCGCTCCCCCTCCGCCCAACCCAGGCGCCCCCTCCAATTAGCTGGTTTCCAGGAGAGCTCCACAGAGTCTTAGGAGCACAGACCAGCGTTCCCACAGATAAAATAAAAGGCAAACACCGTGAGTCTCTTGTCACCACCTTTATTCTGGCTTCCAGCTTGCCAAAGTCAATGGAAATATTTATTTAATGACCTCTCCCCCCGAGTCCACACATACCACATGCAGTGTTCTAGGCTGCTCTTATATATATTATTAACTCTGATAACATATTTTAATACTTAAATTTAAATACAAGGAAAAACAATAAATTACTCTTTGGCTGAGGGCCGGCTGCTGGCTGCAGACAGGAGCCGCCGCCCCAGGCCCATGAGGTAGCAGGGTTTGCACACAGTACTTGTTCCCAGGGCTCTGCGCGGCTGCGTTAGTGCTGGAGCCGAGTCTCCTTGGCTCTGAGTTCTGGCAGCAGCAGTCCCTCCCCCTCCCCCGGCACAGACAGACACTTGTTTAAATAACACACAGTAATAAATAAGGCCGAGAAGGAGGCCTGTGCTCTGCCTCGGTCGCCCGCTGGGAAGGCCCCTCCCTCACGCTGGCAAGGCTAATGCCCACTTAATGCTAGTTCGCCCTAAGGAAGGGGAGGTCACGTGGGGCCATGTTTTTACCTCCCCCCACTGAGCTTGGAGCCCCGGAGGGAGGAGGCCCACCATGTGGGGCCTCGAGCCCCAGCACCAGGGCCAGGGGCTGCTGAGTCGGGCAGGGCTGAAGGCAGGCAGCACAGGCTGAGGTCGAAGCTAAGGAAACGTCACCCCCTCCCGCCCCCTTCGCCCCACCTCCCCGAAGAAATTTCTGACACATGAAAGGAAAACGAATCTGCAACTCAAATGGGTGGGTCAGCTCTGCCAACAGCGGGGCCAGCGGTTCCCGCTGTTGCTCTCATTCGAACTTCCCTTGGCGAACACCCTTCCTGAGCTGCTGCAGCAGGTCCTTGGCAAGCCGGGTCACTTCCACCTTGGTGTCGCGGACGGGCGGGCTGGAGGCCGGCTGCAGTGGGAGAGAGGCCCGTGCGTTAGTGGCAACGCCAGGGGTTCCCGGGGCTGGGCCTGCTGGGTCCTCAGAAGACCCACGGGTGGATACCGCTGTCCTGACTCATTTTACAGACGTGGCCCCTCATTCCAGGTCCTAGACATCCCAGGGCCACATCCCTGCTGCCACAGGGGACCCGCCCCCAGGTGGGTGGGTGCTTCAGATGCTCAGCCGGGCCCCCTGGGGCCCCCAGGGCGAGCCCAGGGCTGCAGGAGGGGTGCAGGGTGGGGTGCGGGGCAGGGGCCTCACCCCGGCTGAGGGCTGGCGAGGGCACAGTGCGCTCAGCATCCTCTGGGTCCTCTGGATGGCAGGGCAGTCGGAGACGTTCATCAGCGACTCGAAGGCTGCACAGTACTGCGGGGGGAGGAGGCGGTGTCAGGCCTGTGGGCAACCCCAGCCTCATACCTTCAGTGCGTGGCCAGGGGGTACTGAGAGGT